ATTTCGGTCAGTGTACCATTTTAGGGGTCAAAAATTTTTCCGGACAACCAATTTTTTTCGGAACATAACACAAATTTTCGAAAAATCGCAAAATTTGCAAAAAAATTGACTTAATTTTAGACAAAATTGACAGAATTTGTCCAATTTTTTTTATTGCAAGCCAAAATTGCCCGACTGTTGATCGCATATTGCCCGACTGCCCAAAAAACTGGGGGGGCTGCCGCCCCCCCCGCCCCCCCGCCCGGTACGCCTATGCGGGTAAACGTTTGTACGGCGTTTACGAAGAAAAAAACTTACGAGACTAAAGGAATCAGTTGAGTCAGAGCTCCTTGTATAAATAAGAAAGACGAGGAGATAGCCAACGTGTTTAGGTGTTATCGCCAACACGTTATCGCTAATCGCTTAATTGGCTCACCAACAAGCTTTATGCAATAGAAGAAAAAAGCAAGGAGGTACATGTAGCCAACGTGTACATTCACAGACCTTGTCCTTGTCTTTGTTTACTGTCTAGTGTCTAGCACAACGCCGTTGTCAACGGTGCAAACTCGTATTCAGTGCAACGATAACTCTACCAGATCTTACGAGAATCAATCTGTAGTATTCTGTACACAGAACTGTATCAAAGCTTGCCAAAAATGTTTCAAACACTGCTATAACTGTGAAACTATTGAAATCTATATATGTTATTTACCGGCTGCGAGGTCCGGATGAGAAAAACTGTGCCCGAGGTCTTGAAAACGGCCCGAGCCGGCCGAAGGGCGAGGGACGTTTGCAAGACCGAGGGCACAGTTTTTCTCATCCGGACCGACGCTGCCGGTAAATAACGTATTTAATTTTTATCAGATGTAAAAATAAATTGATTAAAATTCCAGTGTTGCTTGCGAACTAATTTGAGATCAATGCAGTTGTGTTTTTTCAAAGCGAGGCTGACAAAAATAGAAAAGCTAAAAGATATAAAACACGAATACGAAAACTCGAGAAAACTGGCAAGAAACACACAAAAAGACGTATAGTTTCAGTAAAAATGTACATGCTCTTTTCATGAATATGGTAGCAGAGAAGCTTTGGAATAAAAACTTTTATGCCTGGCGTTTTGGCTTTGCCTTTGACAAGTTGCTCCTGACAACGACAGGTTCATGTTCAGATCCGATCAAAAACATGTATAAATGAATGTGTTTTGATTTAATTAACGTTTTTCTACTAAAAGGACAATGGAAAAGGTATGCCATTTTTATATTTTTGTATTTTTTCTTGTCGTTTCACGATAATATGCTTGAAAAAAGTGTTTTTAAAAACAAACTTTTACTTTGTTTACAATATTTATATCAGTGAAAAATACATGGCACAAATGAGTAGAGAATATATTCGTGACTTGCTTTCACTGTTGCAGTTAAACCTTCTTTATAAATGGGAAAATATTTATTTTACAATATCTGTTTAAGGCGTAAATTTTTCGCTTTTAAGTGGCCGAATACATGAGCATTTAAAAAATATATAGTTTTCTCGACGTAAGTTTTATACATGTCAAATACTTTCTGACTTCCAGTCGCATTTCTATCAAAATATTGTCAATTCTCGTGAACATCGTGCTTAGTATGATTTAGTGATTTAATAATGTTCGACATCTACTAAATTTAAATTTTAACAATGTAGTGCCAGGATACTCGCCACAGTGTCCCCAATTACGGCGAGTCCTTAATAATTACATCTAAATCACGTTAATATTAGTATTGAATAATCTAATAACAGACAACTGACATTACGCTTAACAAAACA